CTCTTGACTTTAAATAAGTAAACAGTTATAAACAGTTACTTATTTAAGCATCAAGGTGGTAAAATATAAACGCTGTAGGACAACATCGGTTAACAACATGTACATTGAGATTCGATCTCGGCTCGATTGAAGCTCCTCGAAGCTCGTGTTGTTGTGTTGATCACTGAGCTACCGTCTGTACGCTGTTAAAGTTGTAAAGCCTCATTGATGTAGCCTAAATGTTTTTATTGCAATGTTTTATGTTGAAATGTTTTCATTATTTATTCAATTACATTTCAGTAGCCTAATTTCAGTATTGTGATTATGAATTATTTTAACTACGTTTCACTTGTTGAATTCATCTGCTACCAGCTTTCAATCGCTCTGAATCAGCCGCGGTGCGGCAGCAGATTACGCATTAGAGAGAATAAACCGGAATAAACGAACACTTTTCAGAGTCTATGATTGTTGCGCCTCTTAGCGGTAAAAGGCAGCAAATACACCACACATTTTACCGCCGTGGTGGAACGGCTGATGTGGGCATTGTCATGGCTTGCCTCGACATTTGCGTTTGAATAGCGCGCGTCCTCCGTGGGCGTGTCGGATTAATGAAGTGTAATGAGCTGGGAAAAAAAATACTGACAGCACTCTCTTTTCATACAGATTGCATAAACTGAGAATATTTGTTTTTTATATAAATTACTTCATTTAAAAGAAGAGAATTCAAGCTTCATAAAGAAAAATCTCTCGTGCCTGTGTGACAAGTAATCGCGGAGTTACAGTTAATCTTAGGACGCGTTTCAGAATGGACTTCACTGACAGAGAGAACGCAGAACTCGCATCATGTTTGTTTATCTTTATTTGGTGAAAAGCACAACACTTTGTTTTTATTGTGAGTATCCACAAAAAAAAAAGAAACTTAACAGGATCTAATGATGTATCACACTTACCGGTATATGTAAGATCAAAATCTACCGAGTATTTTGAGTCTCTTTTGCACTGATAAGAAAAAAAGCGAGACAATCGCGCCGGCGCGATAGCCGACCCCAGGGGGTTAATGTCCACTGGACATTGTTACGTTTTTTTTTTTTTTTTTTTACTATTTCAATACACATGCTGAAAGAGTGAGAGTAAAAACTAGGTTTGTTTAGTTTATTTGGGCAGTTCTATCCAGCCAAGCCGGATCATTTGTTTGGATGACCAAAGGAAAATCGGGGACGTTTTGAGTAATCCTGCTTAAGCCTTCGTGCAAAATGGAAATACTCATGTGAATTTGTAACACTTACAGTTGTAATTGAAATTATTCAACCCCCATTCAAAATCTGGTTTATTGGCAAAATTTACAGTCTTTCAAAAGAATGGTAATCGCCCTTCACAAACAAGGAACAGGATATAAAAAGATAGCGAAGTCATTAAATGTTCCTAGAGACACCGTTGGAAGCATAGTTCGCAAGTTCAAAGTTAAAGGAACAGTGGTTACACTACCTGGACGGGGCAGAAAAAGGAAACTATCAACGGTTGCAACCAGGTTGCAACGGTTGCAACCAGAGGAGGCAGGTTCAGAAAAACCCTCGAGTGACTGCAAAAGACCTGCAGCAAGACTTGTTTGCAACAGACACTGAGGTTTCAGCTTGCACAGTAAGGCGTGTACTAAACACATGCCAGAACTCCAAGACGTACACCACTACTGACCCAAAAGCACAAGAAAAGTGCTCAAAATCATATAAATGAGCCACAGAAGTTTTGGGATTCTGTTCTGTGGAGTGATGAAACTAAACTGGATCTTTTCGGCCCTATGGATCAGCTGGAGATAGAAGAATGAAGCATATGCTGAAATGAACACTGTTAAACAGTTAAGCATGGTGGGGCTTGGTAATGCTCTGCGGCTGCTTCGCATCCTCTGGCACTGGAAACCTGCAGCGTGTGGAAGGCAAGATGGTTTTATTGAAGTATCAGGAAATCCTAGGAGAAATCGTCATGCCGTCAGTGAGGAAGCTGAAGCTTGCGTGTCATTTGACCGTCCGACAACGATCCCAAGCATACCTCAAATTCCACCAAGGCTTGGTTGCAGAAGAAGTCCTGGAAGATCCTACAGTGGCCATCACAGTCACCTGACTTGAACCCCTTAGAAAATCTCTGGTGGGATTTAAAGGCGGCGGTTGCAGAACGCAAACCCAAGAATATTACTGAACTGGAGGCCATTGTTAATGAGGAATGTCAAGTTAAGTCAAGTCACCTTCATTTATAGAGCTTTTAACAATATGGACTGTTTCAAAGCAGCTTTACAGTGATAATAGGAAATTAAAGTAACAGAGATTGTTTTGGCTTTACAGCAGCTCTAGAATAAAGTTATTGTCCAGCTAAAGTTAGTTTTGATTGATTCACTTCCGTCGCAACTTTCATTAGTTATTAACTTAGGGGCCGCTAACACGACACCGCTCTAACAGAAAACCCTTAACACGCTCTGACCGCTCATCCGCACAACAGCAGTGCCTGGGGCTTGAGAACGCAAACCTTGAAATGGGTTCCACGGTGCAAGCCTTGAAGAAAAAGAAAAAAATATATATACATATGTATTTTTTTTTTTATCTCTGCGCAAGCTTTAAAAACGCAAACCTGTGAAAACGCTGACGGCGTGCACATGCGTATGACGTGTTTAGTCTATAGATATGCGCGTTTGAATATATATGTGCGCAGGCGTGTAGTCTTTCTCTACAAATTGACCTCAACAAATTACTTGTCTGGCCTTAAAAATTTATGAAACAGATTTATTTATCGCTTCCACGTAGCCATGTGAACCGGAACTATTTTGGCAATGATTATCTGTACAGAGGTAAAGGGAAGGAGGCCTTCACAGGGAGAGACTAGTGACACTTTAGGACTGCGTTGTCGTCGCGTCCAGACGCAGGTCCTTCATCAGATCTGGAGTGTGTGTGTGTGTGTGTGTGTGTGTGTGTGTGTGTGTGTGTGTGTGTGTGTGTGTGTGTGTGTGTGTGTGTGTGTGTGTGTGTGTGTGTGTGTGTGTGTGTGTGTGTGTGTGTGTGTGTGTGTGTGTGTGTGTGTGTGTGTGTGTGTGTGAGTGTGTCCAGGCGCAGGTCCTTCATCAGATCTGGATACGGCCTGGATCCGGCGGACTGCGGTAAACCTCGGGATAAACAGAGAGACAAATATTAGCGTAGATGCCATTCTTCTTATGATGTAACGAGTACATCAGGATTTATGGGAAGTGTTCCCGGTTCCGGCTGACCTAACCTATGCAGCCTAACATTGAATTATAGAAGTCGATAATGTGTTATGTGTATGCTAGTTCAAAGAGATGTGTTTTTAGTCTAGCTTTGAACTGATAGAGTGTGTCTGCTTCCCGGACAATGTTAGGAAGACTGTTCCAGAGTTTTGGTGCTAAAAAGGAAAAGGATCTACCGCCAGCAGTCGATTTTAAATATTCTAGGTGTTATCAACTTTGAGATCGCAATAGACGTGAAGGACTATAATGCGTTAAGAGCTCGCTCAAGTACTGGGTAGCTAAACCATTTAGTGCTTTGTAAGTAATCAGCAATATTTTAAAATGTATACAATGTTTAATAGGGAGCCAATGCAGTGTTAATAGAACCGGGCTAATATGGTCATACTTCCTGGTTCTGGTAAGAACTCAAGCTGCTGCATTTTGGACCAGCTGTAGTTTGTTTATTAAGCGTGCAGGGCAACCACCCATAAGAGCATTACAATAATCTAGCCTTGATGTCATGAACGCATAAACTAATTGTTCCGCATTTGTCATTGAGAGCATATGACGTAATTTAGATATATTTTTAAGATGGAAGAATGCGGTTTTACAGATACTAGAAACATGACTTTCAAATGAAAGATTGCTATCAAAGAGCACACCCAGGTTCCTAACCGACGACAAAGACCTGACAGAGCAGCCATCAAGTGTTAGACAGTATTCTAGGTTATTACGTTAAGTAGTAGGAAATTACTAGTCATCCAGTTTTTTCAGCTATGCATTCCGTTAATTTTGTGAATTGGTGAGTTTCGTCAGGGCGTGAAGAAATATAGAGCTGAGTATCATCAGCATAACAGTGAAAACTAATGCCATGCTTCCTAATGATATCTCCTAATGGTAGCATGTACAGAGTGAACAGCAACGGTCCTAGTACTGAGCCTTGTGGTACGCCATACTGAACTTGTGATCGATAAGACATCTCTTCATTTACTGCTACAAACTGATAACGGTCAGATAAGTATGATTTAAACCATGCTAATGCAATTCCACTAATGCCAACATAGTTTTCTAGTCTATTTAAAAGAATATTGTGGTCAATAGTATCAAATGCAGCACTCAGATCGAGTAACACTAATAGAGAGATACAACCACGATCGGATGATAAGAGCAAATCATTTGTGACTCTGATGAGAGCTGTCTCAGTACTGAATGGTAAATGGTACGGTCTAAATCCTCGCAGATATCATTTCTTTCTAAAAAGGAACATAGTTGTGAGGATACTGCCTTTTCTAGTATGTTTGACAGAAAAGGTAGATTTGAGATCGGCCTCTAATTGACTAATTCTGTTGGATCAAGTTGCATTTTTTAACAAGAAGTTTAATCATAGCCAGCTTAAAAGTTTTTGTTACATATCCTAATGACAAAGATGAATTAATGATATTAAGAAGAGGATCTATGACCTCTGGAAGTATTTCTTCAATAGCCTAGTTAACAGGGTATAGGGTTAACAGGCTAGCGAGATACTAGCATGTTGTGCTAGCGATTACGGTTTAGATAAAAGCTAGCGATGTCAGATTAATGTGATCGCCCATTTAGATGTATTAAATATAGTTATTTTTTAAACAAATTAAATTGAAAATTAATCTTAACCTCAGAATCATTTACATTTTAATTAATATGTGTTTCATGAGATGTCTCTGCAGTGAGTTAAGTAATTTGCTATTCTGTGAATAACTGCTATTCTGTAAATACTTTGTCCTTTTCCTCTGACCTTTCTCTCTTTCTTCTTTTTTCCCAGATGTCGGTGGGGCCACTGCCAGCAGGAAAGGGTGCAGCATGTCTGACATGTAAAGGGATCTGCTCTGGATTCCAGCCACATTCCTGGAGGTAATTTATTCTCTTGACTAAAGATGAAAAAAGAGAGGAAAGGGCTTCCACGCCTGCCTCAGTTCTCTGGATGTGTATGTGGAAAACTGGATTAATGAGTGTGAGTTATGAGTGCTTCTGTGTGAATTTCCATGGGCTCAATGTTTTCAGAATGTCACGACTTTGGTGTTTGCCTAATTAATCTGTCTATATTAATTATATGATAAATATATAATACTATAAACACTGTCATTTTTTATATCAAAAATCAAATCTACTTTACTGCTATGGGGGGACTTACCTGGGGCCTGTACCAGTGACTAGCTGAACAAAACCATGGTTACAAGATTGGTTTTGATTTGACAAAACCAAACACATCCAAGCCGGCTTAAGTGGTACGACTACACTGCTGCTACTACAAAATTTTCCTGGTTAACTCAGGATTTGGCTTTTTCATCAAACAGCTTCATCACATGACCACTGTCTGCTAATAGGATTAGCGTGATTTCACGTGTGGTCAAGACTTCGTCTTCGGGTCGCTTGAGAGACACTGTTTCATTAAGGTCCCTGGCCAGAGAGGATTGTCACCGCTATGATATTAAATCTGGTCTCTCCCAAAACTTTGCGCTTCTAAACTGCCGTTCACTTCTTCAATGATTTAATTACTAGTTACTAATTACTACTAATAGTTCTGCCCCACTGGGGGTCCGGCGAGGTGTCCCTCAAGGGTCTATCCTTGGTCCGGTCCTATTTACCATTTACATAAACACCATAATGGCAAAATACACCTCTATGCAGACGACACAGTACTATATTGTTCCCCCCCCACCCCCCCACCCTAGCTCAAGCTTATCATTCACTACAGCAATCTTTTAATTTATTGCAGGCTACCTTAATTGATCTTAGACTGGTTTTAAACGCTGGTAAAACTAAAGTGATGCAGTTCACAAAGTCTCGCACAGTACCCGCATCAACCGCCCTAGCCATTTCCACACTGGATGGGAAGTGTGTTGAAAATGTTTCATCTTATAAATATCTTGGTCTGTGGATTGATGAAAAGCTAACCTTTAAAGTTCATATTGATAAATTAGTGAGAAAGCTGAGAGTAAAGCTTGGTTTTTATTTTAGAAATAAATCCTGTTTTACTCTCCAAGCTAGGAGGAAATTGATCAGTGCCACTTTCTTACCAGTCTTGGACTATGGGGATGTTATTTATATGCATGCTGCCTCTACCACGCTGCACACACTTGACACAGTCTACCATGGTGCATTACGGTTTATTACGAACGCCAAGTCACGCACTCATCACTGTCGTCTTTATGAGGCGACTGGTTTTAGCTCTTTAGGTCGGCGTAGATGGTTCCACTGGCACATTTTTATTTATAAAGTCATTAACGGTAATTTTCCCAGCTATCTTTACTAGTCTGTTGACCTGGAATTACTCCATTTACAATCTCCGCTCCGTTAACATTCTGGCTCTAAATATCCCACGCATAACAACTGAATTTGGTAAGACTGCTTTTAGTTATGCTGCTCCTTGGTGTTGAAATTTGCTCCAAAAAGTATTGAAGCTTTCTGTTTTTATCCCATTTGAACATTTTAAACAATTACTTAAATGTTCCAAATTTGAACAATGCACATGTTTTCAATTACCACTTTAAGTCATTCTTAAATTGTTTTCCATGTACTGTAAATTTGTTTTGTTTGTTGTGTTTATGTGATTCTGTGTAACTTGTGTAATTGTTGCCCCAGGGCTCCCTTGTAAAAGAGATTTGAATATCTCAATGGGACATCACCTGGTAAAATAAAGGATAAATAAAAATAATAATACTGATACTCAATTGGATATGTTGCTCCTCATGGAAACCTGGCAGTTACTAAATGACTACTTTCATCTAAACCTCTTTACTCCCTCTGGATATAAATGTTTATCAAAGCCACGTCTCTGTGGTAGGGGTGGTAGTATATGCAATGCTATGAAAATTGTCATGACTAAATTTCCTAATGTGACATCTTTTAAACACATGGCTTTTAAATTGCTTGCTCACACCTCTCTAATTTAGTATATCTGTCATGATTCTGCCATCATGTCCGTGATTTTCTAGTATTGCGGCAGGATCATGACAGACCCATGTTCTGCGTGCAAGCACATGGCCTTGTGTTTTGGTCATGTGCTTGTGTTGTCTCGTCTCTTAACCCCACCCCTTGTTATCCTGATTTAGTCATTATTGCTTTATCTGTGTCACCTGTCATGTCATGATTAGTCTCCCTATTTTATCCCCTTGTGTTTCGCTGGCTTTGGTCAGTTCATTGCCAAACGTTACTTGTGAGTATCCTGTCAAGTCTAGTCATTATTAGTAGCCTAGTCATTGTTAGTATTGAAAGACGTATTGTTTGTTTCTTGTTCAGTCTTTTTCTAGTACTGCCTTGTCAGTCTTATATCCCTTGTTTCGTCTGTTTTGCCCCCTCGTGGGTTTTTGTTTTCTGTTTTTATCCTTAATAAATCCTTTGAGTCATCTGCTGTCTGCGCATGGGTTCTCCTTCCATCCACATAACAATATCGTCCTCCTAAGTCTCTGTCAAATTTTTTCTCTGAACTTAATGAATTACTCACTCTGGCCTATGCTGTATCCACTTATGTTATCCTGTTCAGTGATTTCAATATCCTCTGTCTGATCTAATACCAGTGACCTTACATTAACTTTGGATAATTTCAGTCTTGTACAACATGTCAACTTTCCTACTCACTGCCGTGGTCACACACTTGATCTTGTTTGCACTTCAGGAATTAATAATGTCTCTGGCTCACAAACTGGTATTTCTGATCATAAGCTGATAACAGTTAGATTTGCTTTCCCTCTTCCTGAACCTCTTCACAAAACTATTATTAATTATCGCAACGTTAAATCTGTTGATCCTCTGTCATTCTCAGACTCCATTAAAGCTACAATATGTTGGGGGGTTTTCGCCGCTAGGGGTCGCTAACCTCTTACATCTTGAGATGCTACAAAGGCTTGGATTGATGACGCAGTGAATAGGCAGAATCATGGAACTTGTTGTCATGCCGATGGATCTAATAATGTTTAAGGATGAGTGAATACATTCATGTTTTTAACATGACTGTGGTGTGAAGCAGGGTGCGATTTCTAATGAGAGAGTCCCGCAGATATAAAGGAATGAGGACATTTTATTCTACCGAACTACACGCAAGTGCTGAATTACTACTCACACAGTCAGTTTATTTGACGAATTAAACTTGTGAGGAAACGCAGCGCTGTTTCACTTGGTCCAATGTTACACTATCATACTAAACAGCATTCGAGCGTGTTGAAAGTTATAATGTGTTAGTTTGTTTGCTGTATGAGACTAGCAGTAAGCTAGATCAACATTAGAATAACATACTGATCATATTCTAACATTTCATCATATTGAGCTATATAACATTTATTTGTTTTATGTACATTTGCTCACCTGTCTAATAAACTACATGCGAGATCGGCGTCTCTGTGAAGTCTAAGTTTGACGCGAAGCTCTCGGCATCTCAAAAACGCCACGCTGATATTGATCCTCGTTTTATTTCTCCGTTTGTCCCAAAGTCTGCCTGCCATGATCCATAATGTTTGAATGAAACAACAACAGTATGAGCGTGCCGCTAGACGTTACGCAGTTTTTGGATATTTTGAGACAAAATTCTTACATATTGTACCTTTAATGCATCTTCTCTGTCTTACTCTGATTTCTCTTGTCCTTCTGCTGTTTTTTTTTAACTTACAACTATGATAACTAAGCTGGTACCTTCATCTCATGCATCACCCTGGTATACACCTGAGCTACAACTGCTTAAATAAATTTGCAGAAGTCTCGAGCACCGATATAGGAAACGTGGCCTGGAAGAGCATTATCAAGATTTCTGTGCTCACCAGCTGAAATACAAGTCTGTTCTTAATGCCACACGTACAGCATACTACTACTCCATAATTTACACTGCTGAAAGTCGATCTAAGTCGACATTATTTTCAACTGTTAACAAACTTATTAACCCTTCAACGTTTTTTGAAAATAAAATCAAACCTATTAATGAAAGATTTTCATCAAACTCATCAGAAGTTTCGTCTAACTGGTCCTTACCCAAGCCCATAAAGCACATCCTCTAGCTTTACTCTCACCAACCCATCCTCTCTTAGTAATTGCTCAAACTAGCTCATCTACTTGTCAGTTAGATCCAGCACCTACCTCCTAAGCTGCCTATCTGTTATCTCATCTCCTATTGCTCATTTGATCACCTGTTCTATTTCTTTCAGGTCTGTCCCACTATCATTAAAACGGCTGCGGTCACTCACTCCTATTTTAAAGAAACCAGGGCTAGATTCTTCTGCTATGAATAATTTTATACCTATATCTAATCTTCCTTTCATTTTTAAGCTGCTTGAAAAGGTAGTTACCTCGCAGTTACATGCTCATCTCTATGCTGACAATCTTCTCGATCCCTATCAATCTGACTTTCGGTCAGGCCACAGCACTGAAACGGCGTTGGTAAAAATGACTAATGACCACTTAATATCTGCTGATTCTGTTGTCTTACTGTTCTCATAATGCTTGACTTAACAGCAGCTTTTGACACTGTAGGTAGTGCTTTATCTTGGTTTATATCATATCTTGCTGAAAGACAATTTTTTATTACTGTCCATAACTTCAAATCTTCTGTGTTCTCTCTCAAGGTGTCCCTCAAGGCTCTGTTCTTGGACCACTTCTGTTCAATATTTATGTGTTACCTCTTGGTCACATTATCCGTAGTCATGGTCTCAGCTAACACTGTTATCTTCTATCTCTGCTTGGCCACAGCTCGCTCCATCTCTGCTGTTCCTCTGGACATATTGAATACCTGTATTGCGGAAATTAAAATCTGGTTATATCTGGTTATATCTACTCTTTCGAAAGAGTAGGGGTGTAACCCCGGCATCCTGGCCAAATTTGCCCAGTGGCCTCTGTCCATCGTGGCCTCCTAATCATCCCCATATATA